CCACCTACTCAGCCTATTGGGTTTGACTTGGAAATTGAGAAAAGAATCCAGGAGCGAGAGTCAAAGAAGAAATCAGAGGAAGAACACTTTGAATTTCATTCCAGACCGTGTCCTACCAAGATCTTGGAAGATGTTGTGGTAAGAATGGTTGAGGCTCTGCAGGCTGGCAGAAGTGCTCTGTATCTGACCATCCATCCATTCACAAATGTGTGAGGAGCCCCAAGGCATAATATTCGAGCTGTAGGTGAGAAGGAGACATATTAAAAGTGGATTTCACTCTCAGGAAACTTGTTTGTTAAAGGAAACAACATGTAAATAATATAAAATGAAATTGAAGTGTTGTGAGACAGATGACAATTAAAAGTATGGTAGGAGTTCAAAAGAGGAATTAGTTTGTTTCCGATTCCAGGTTCAGGGAACACTATGTGGGGGAACACTTAGGAATAAACCACCAAAGGGCACATTCTGCAAGCCTGTTTTCTGGCCACCAGCACACAGCCTTTCTTTTTCCATGAGTCTACAGTCTTCTGCTGCTTTTCCTCTTCATGTCCTCATCTCTGCCTCTAACTCTGATGTCCCTGCTTCTCTGGATAGGGTCCCATATTCTGTGCTCATGCTCTTCTCCCTTGATGGTCCTGGACTGTAAGATAAACTACTTCGCTCCTTTTGTTACATAACTTCTACTTTTATAATTGTAACAGTTGCAATTTGGACTGTCTTTGCTGATAACAATTATTCTCTATTGAATTCCCCCCCCGCACCCCGCACCCCGCATTTTAGGTAGACAATGTCTAAGTTGCCCATCCCTATCAACCCTGTATGCAGAGGGGATAGGATTGATTTTTGATGTGAAGACTCCTTCTTTCTCAGTTGGTAATTTGAGTTACTACATCCATAAGTATAGGTCAAGTTCCTCAAATTGAAGCAATTTACACTTCTTTCCTTTATCAAACTTTTTAATTTTCCTCTAGTCATCTCTCTTGTTTCTTCATGTGAGCTAAAATTGTGTGTATTCTCTGGGCATTGTGAGGTTGCTATAGTTGTTAAAACAAACAGTGCAGTTGTTGGACCCAGAGGGGATCCTGAAATCTATGGGGGGGAAGTGGGCGGTGGGGGAGAGGAAGCCTTCTGCAGTACAGGGAGCTCACAGAGTGGATGTGGAAGGGATGTGACAGCAGAGTTCCTGGCCCTAGATGGAGTTTCTGTTAGCCTTAGTATTATCTATGTTCAGGGCATTCATTCTGGAAGTAGTTTGTGACAGTCCTTGATGGAACTGGTTTTAGTGTCTGTTAGAACCACAGAGCAGCTGGGGGTCAAGGTGACTGGTTAAATGCTGGTCTGGTGGATCTGTGGATTTTGTAGGTCTGGAGCCAAGCCCACCTGAATCCAGGTACCAAAGTGGTACATTAAAGTCAACACAGCTAGTTCACCCTGGCGTGGCTCCCAACCATGTGGTTCTGAACTTCTGGAGAGCAGGATCTGTATGGGGGATGGATGAGGGTTAGAGCTGGCCACATTTCTAGTCACCAGAAGAGTGTGGGGAAAAAGAAGAAATCCTACCTTTTCTGGCATCTGCGGGAATCTACTGTATCTGCTGCCAAAACTGCTCACAAGATGGTGGAACCACGTCTGGCCAGCTGTGTTCACCAGTCTCCTCTCTCACTGGGCCTTACCTTGCACCAAACACTATATCCCTCTTTCTGATCTTTCTTCTGAAGTTCAGGGTATCAGAATTTTCATCTGTGTCTGTTTAATTTTGTCTCATATCTTTGTTGTAAGGAGCTCTGGTAGCATAGTGGTTACGAATCAGGCTGCTAATCTCAGGGTCAGCAGTTCGAAACTACCAGCTGTTCCGCGGGAGAAAGATGAGGCTTTCTGCTCCTGTAAAGATTTGCAGCCCTGGAAACACTGTACAGGGTCCCTATGAGTTAGAACCGACTCCATGGCACATAACAACAACAACAATCTTTGTTGTAGAGGGTCCATGTTGTAGAGGGTGCATGTAGTGCATCTATCTAGTACCCCTCCTGCTGACAGTCCTATGCACCTTTCTTTAATACTATCTGTTTCTTCAGGCTCTTGATTTGATCACCTTATTGTTTTTAAGGATAAAATAACCTACAGTTTTGGTTTCTATTTTTTTTTTTTAATTTAACTTTTTAAACATTTTATTGTGAATTGAGTAAAGGTTTATAGACAAGATCATTGGCTTATGCATTCAACAAATCATATATTTTGTTTCATCTCAATGATTACAGTCCCCTCCCAGCAACAACAGTTATCCTGCTTCATTCCTGTGGTTTCCATTTACAGCTTATATTTCACAAATGAGCATATCAAAAATATATGATGCACATATACAAAACAAAACATATGTTCATTTAAACGGCACAGTCTGCAAGCCAGACTCCTGCCTGCAGCCTTACTCTGTCCCTTGCAGCTGCTCTGTCTCTGACACTGTCTGTGCTATCACCGCTTTTCTAAGTAGGGTTCTCTCTTTCTTTTTGGAATCTAGTGACTGTGTGACTCTGCAGTTTTACTATATCCTTGTTCCTCTGCCATACAGCAGAACAGACATGAACTATTTTTTAAATCTCAACTAACTTAAATTTAAAAGTAATTAAAAAAAAAAAAAGCTTCTATTGTAAGTTGAGTGATAGTTTACAGGGCAGATCATCAGTTTTGCACTTAACCAATCATATTTTGTTTCATTGCAGTGATTGCAATTCCCTCCATGCACCATCGGTTAACAGTATTTGTGTCTCTTTTTTTTTTTTTTTTTTTTTTGATATACACAAAACAGGCAGAATATATATATTCATTTAAATAACCAAGGTGCACATTTTGCAAGCCAGCCTCTGGCTTGCCGGCACACAGCCTTTCTCATTCTGTGGGTCTAGATTCCGCAGCTGCTCTATCTCTCCATGCCATCACCTCTGCTTCTGTCTCTGGTTTTGCTGCTTCTCTGGTTAGGATCCTATGCTCCACTCATACTCTTTCCTCTTGATGGTCCTAGGTCCTCTGTTCCTGAAATGAAAGATTAACTACTCCCCCCTTTTGTTACACATCTACATTTACAGTTATGACAATTGCAATTAGTAATAATAATTACTATTGAATCAAAAGAATCCTATCCCCATCTTCCCCCATCCCCTTTCACCAGACCTGTCTAGAAAAGAGGACAGTTATTCTTTGGAGATTCTATCTGACCCTCCTTGCTTTGAAACTAAGCACACTCTTGAAAACTTGTAGGCCAGCCACTTTATGCCTTTATAGGTAAAAATTTAAAGTAATTTTAACTAGAACTTTTTTGTTTTTAAGTTTTTATTGTGAACTGAGTGCTAGTTTACATGGAAGAACATCACCTTTACACCATCACTATGTAAATGGAAAATTAGCCCTTCTTGCCATGAATAATAATGACAATCATAGCTAATTTTTTTCCAATTTTTTTATTGTGAATTAATGAAGGTTTACAGACAGGTCATTAACAAATCATATACTGTATTTCATCTCAATGATTACAATCCCCTTCTTGGAATAACAGTTATCTTGTGTCCCACCTGTGGTGTTCCTGTTTGCATTTACCTTCCCATTCCTTCTCAACTTTATCCTTAGGAAAATTCCATGGGGAGCATACCTTACTAGTGTTGTTGTTCCCCACTATAAACCTACCTGCTGCCTGGCTGAAAGTTGGGCCACGAGGTGAGTTTCTTTCCAGACCTGAAGGGTGATTGAGGATTATAGTCTCAGGTTCCTCCAGTCTTTTTCTGAATAGTAAACTGATTTACTTTTTTTTGTTTTGAGTTTTATTCTACATTTTATCCCTTTCTATCCAGGACCCTCTAATGTGATCCCTTTCAGAGCAGTTGCTAGTGGTAGCCAGGTAATGTCTAGTTTCAGAGTCATGGAGGCTGATGATCACCTGCTCCATTGAACTAATTGATTCCAAGCATCTTTAGTTCTCATCCTTCTTCTTTCTTCTGTACATGAAGAGACCAATAGCTGTACCTTAGACAGCCACTCATGAAGTGTCAAGCTCCCAGATGATACTCACCTAAGTAGGCTGTAGAACATTGTCTTTATAGACTATATTACGCCACTTGAGCATGGGACACCCTGAAACTATGGTCATGAGCCCTTAGGCCCAGCATTGCCTTAAGATGGTGGGTAATATCTAAGGAGTTTTTTTGTTTTTAATCATTTTTCCTGTTGTATATGCCTCCACATTCATAGTTGTGTTTGCAGGAAAGGTAGATACTCATGTATAAACATCCTTTTTCAAACTCTTATATGTTTGTGAGATATATAAATATATCCTACTCTTTTTAGTCCCAAATTAGTCTTAATAGTATCATTCACCTTGATATGTAGTGTCATTCATCTTGATGGAGGGGATCAGGGTAGTGTATGGTGTGAGCATCATGGGTTACCAGGGAGTCCTTTTGTTCCCACTAAGATCTTTCTTAGTTTGCACTACTTGTACTTCACCTCCTCAGGTATAATACGATGAACAGCAAATCGACCCTCTGTGTCATAGATCAGATGGAATTTCTCTCTGGTTTGTCAATGCTGATGACGTCCATATAAAACCAGCATATAGGTTATATCAGTTCTAACCTTTCCATCAATCTTAATGAACTGCTACATACAGATCTTTTTAACTTCATCTACTGTCAGGACATACTTAAGTCTATTCCTTTAAAAAATGATCAATGGGAGGCCTTCTCTTAGCTTGTGGAGACTGATGGATAGATGAGGAACAATCACACTAGTCAGCTTGTCCAGCATCCAATGGTTTTGTGACAGCTACATGCTTAATATGCTTTTAGGGTCTATGAGCCCTGGTTGTGCTGAGCAGGAGAGAGCTAAAGTAGAAATTTCTTGCCCATGATTAGTTAATATTTAAAAACATCTACTTACTAGTTAACACCTTCTTTCATATTACCAGTCATGCTTGAATTCCATCTTTTGGTAAACATTGATAGAGGGAATTGGTTTGGCAGTTAATGGTCTGGAAATGCTAGAGTAAAGTTCTAAGTGGGGAAAGGTAGCTAGGCTTCATAAAGAATCAGTTAGATAGATACTCTAAAATCTTAGGAAAGCACTATACCAGATTCTGCCTTGTTGAGGATTCT